GGGAAGATCCCACATGCCGCGGAGCGGCTGGGCCCGTGAGCCATGGCCGCTGAGCCTGCGCGTCCGGAGCCTGTGCTCCGCAAATGGGAGAGGCCACAACAGTGAGAGGCCCGCATAACGCAAGGAAAAAAAAAATAAATAAAAAAAATAAAGATGCAAAAAAAAAAATAATAAAAAAAATAAAGATGCAGAATTCCCTGGCAGTCCAGTGGTTAGGACTTGGTGCTTTCATTGCTGTGGCCCCAGTTTGATCCCTGGCCAAGGAACTAAGATCCCATAAGCCACATGGCACAGCCTAAATAAATAAATAAACAAACATTTAAAAAATAAAAATAAAGATGCTATCGAAATCACAGACACAAATATCTGACCCACAATCACCCATTCAGAAGGCAAACAGTTATACAGATCCAACTCTGTCTTCCCAGTGGCCTCTGCTTGCTTGGCTCCTTGAACATTACTTAATTGAATCTAGGTACAGTGGAATTTGGCTCTGGAAAGAGCCTCAAAATACCCATAGGCTGGAGCTTATTGAAAAAAGGATTGAGAGACCAAGTCCTATGATTACAGGGACATTAACAGGATTATTAGTTTTTTAACGTTCAGTATTTAAGTCATGCCTCCCTCCTTTCTTTCCATGAAAAGGGAACACTTTGATCAAAATCTCTATTTCCCCATCCTATCTCCAAGGACAGAAGAAAAGGGCCTCACCTGGGTATGGTGCTGACGTGCTCTGGAAAGAGGCCTGGGGGGTAGGGGTGGCATAACTGTAGGAAGGAGCCACTGGCAGAGGGGTAGCAATCGGGATTTTCCCAGGGGTTTTTACTTGCTGAATGCTAGGAGTAGCACCCGGGTCCTCTGATGCCTCAGGTTGAACTGATACATTTGACCAACCAGGAATCTTCGCAGTCAGATCTGTGGTTAAGGGATTAGAAATTGTATCTGTGTTGTGGACCTAGAGAAATGCAAAAATTCATTTGAATAGGCAAAAGTTATACAGCCAGTTTTTTAGGTCATGTCTCATGAAATAACTGCATGTTAAATTGTTTTTGAAAAATGGAAAACTGTCAAAAATATTAAAGAAACTAATCTTATCACCCAAAGTGGTGTTAAAATGTTGATATAAATCTTCCTAGTATTTTTTTTCTATGCGAAGAGTTTTGCTTAAAACAAAGTAGTAATAATTACACTATGTATACTTTTACCTTCTTTTCTTACTTAATATTTATATTCAATCTTTCTACAAATATGTATTAAGCAACTATTATAAAACAGGCCTGTGGATCCAAAATATAATTAAAACATAATCATTGTGCTCAACAAGCACACAATCTAGTGGGGAAGAAAGGACTAGAAACATAATAAGCCAAAATAGTAAATATACCTATAAGAGTTATGACTGAACCAAAGAAACATAATCAGAGCACTTCTCTTTCTTGGAGAGAGGAAGCATGTGAAGAAGGATGGTTTAAGTAAATAAAGACCTTCTGGAGGCGGAGAGTCCTGAGATGCATTTTAAAGGATAAACTAGGGAAGAGGCTGAGGGGAGAGATGAGTATAAGCACAAGAAATGAGATGAACATGGCTAGTGTGGGAAATGAGATTAACATGGCTAGTGTGGGAAATGAGTCATAAGCAAAGTGAGAGGCAGGAAGTAACAGAAGATGAGCTGGGAAGACAGTGAGGGGTCAGACTAAAGAAGACATTAGATGCTACTTTAAGAAGCCAGGTGATGATGACAATTAAAGGGTTATATACAGGGAAGTGACAAGGTAGGTCAGGTTTTTGTTTTAAATGAATCATTCAGGTTGTTGCACAGTGTATGGGTTTGAAGGAGTGAGA